CTAGGTATGCCATATATATATATATATATATATATATATATATATATATATATATATATATATATATATATATATATATATATATGTGTGCAGTATTATTAAATATGATCGAAAAAGTAAGATTAATAATTCTAACATGAATTTTCTCTATCTTATGTTTCTTTTCACTATAGATGGTAATTCAAAGATCTATTCTCCAAAAATTCATTTTTATTTCTAGTCTAGAAAACTTAGACAAGAAATAAAAATTTATTTTTGGAGAATAGATCTTTGAATTACCATCAACAGTGAAAAGAAACATAAGATAGAGAAAAATCGTGTTAGAATTATTAATCTTACTTTTTCGGTCATATTTAATAATATATGTCTACAGGAAAGACTGCTACCAATATATATATATATATATATATATATATATATATATATATATATATATATATATATATATATGACCGAAAAAGTAAGATTAATAATTCTAACACGAATTTTCTCGATCTTTCTTATGTTTCTTTTCACTGTTGGTAGTAATTGAAAAATCAATTCTCCAAAATTCATTTTTATTTCTAGTCTGACGCGACACTTGAGCGCGTTTCGTAAAACTTATTACATTGTCAAAGACTTTAGTTTACACACACACAACTGAACTATAACTGAATAGAGCTTAAACATCTTCGATTTTTTATACCTGCAATTGGGTGAAGTGATATGTTACAACAGTTTTGCTTGAGGTGAAAACAAACTTTCAACACAAGACAGAACACGAAATAATGGGTATTGAAGGTAAGAATGGAAGTAATTGTAGAAAGCCTATGGGTCCATATTTCTTGATGCTTCTATATTGGAGCGGAGTCTTGAAGTGGGTAGAATATAGTTGTGCATTAATTGGCTGTTAATAGCTGGTGTTGACTTCTTGATGTGTAGTGCCTCGCAGACGTCAAGCCGCCTGCTATCGCTGTAGCTATCGATGATTTCTGTGTTGTTTGCTAAGATTTCTCTGGTGATGGTTTGGTTGTGGGAAGAGATTATATGTTCCTTAATGGAGCCCTGTTGCTTATGCATCGTTAAACGCCTGGAAAGAGATGTTGTTGTCTTGCCTATATACTGGGTTTTTTGAGGCTTACAATCCCCAAAAGGGCATTTGAAGGCATAGACGACGTTGGTCTCTTTTAAAGCGTTCTGCTTTGTGTCTGGAGAGTTTCTCGTGAGTAGGCTGGTCGTTTTTCTGGTTTTATAGTAAATCGTCAGTTGTATCTTCTGATTTTTGTCTGTAGGGATAACGTTTCTATTAACAATATCTTTCAGGACCCTTTCCTCCGTTTTATGAGCTGTGGAAAAGAAGTTCCTGTAAAATAGTCTAATAGGGGGTATAGGTGTTGTGTTAGTTGTTTCTTCAGAGGTTGCATGGCGTTTCACTTTCCTTCTTATGATGTCTTCGACGAAACCATTGGAGAAGCCGTTGTTGACTAGGACGACCTGCCTTATCCTACAGAGTTCTTCGTCGACTTGCTTCCATTCTGAGCTGTGGCTGAGAGCACGGTCGACATAAGCGTTAACAACACTCCTCTTGTACCTGTCTGGGCAGTCACTGTTGGCATTTAGGCACATTCCTATGTTCGTTTCCTTAGTGTAGACTGCTGTGTGGAAACCTCCGCTCCTTTCCATGACTGTTATATCTAGAAAGGGCAGCTTCCCATCCTTTTCCATCTCGTAAGTGAAACGCAGCACGGAACTCTGCTCAAATGAAAGTGAAACGCCATGCAACCTCTGAAGAAACAACTAACACAACACCTATACCCCCTATTAGACTATTTTACAGGAACTTCTTTTCTACAGCTCATAAAACGGAGGGAAGGGTCCTGAAAGATATTGTTAATAGAAACGTTATCCCTACAGACAAAAATCAGAAGATACAACTGACGATTTACTATAAAACCAGGAAAACGGCCAGCCTACTCATGAGAAACTCTCCAGACACAAAGCAAAACGCTTTAAAAGAGACCAACGTCGTCTATGCCTTCAAATGCCCTCTTGGGGACTGTAAGCCTCAAAAAACCCAGTATATAGGCAAGACAACAACATCTCTTTCCAGGCGTTTAACGATGCATAAGCAACAGGGCGCCATTAAGGAACATATAATCTCTTCCCACAACCAAACCATTACCAGAGAAATCTTAGCAAACAACATAGAAATCATCGATAGATACAGGGATAGCAGGCGGCTTGAAGTCTGCGAGGCACTACACATCAAGAAGTCAACACCAGCAATCAACAGCCAATTAATGCACAACTATATTCTACCCACTTCAAGACTCCGCTCCAATACAGAAGCATAAAAAATTATGGACCAATAGGCTTTCTACAATTCCATTCAATACCCATTGTTTCGTGTTCTGTCTTGTGTTTGAATTTAATACCCATTCAATACCCATTGTTGAAAGTTTGTTTTCACCTCATCCACCTCACCCAAATGTAGATATAAAATAGAAGATGTGTAAGCTCTATTCAGTTTCAGTTGTGTGTTTGTAAACTAAAGTCTTTGAAAATGTAATAAGTTTTACGAAACGCGCTCAAGTGTCGCGTCAGACTAGAAATAAAAATGAATTTTGGAGAATTGATTTTTCAGTTACCATCAACAGTGAAAAATAACATAAGAAAGATTGAGAAAATTCGTTTTAGAATTATTAATCTTACTTTTTCGGTCATATTTAATAATAATATATATATATATATATATATATATATATATATATATATATATATATATATATATATATATATATATATAAACCACACCTGGAAAAATAGAGAATGCTAAACGCATTTTCAGCTCAATTCGCCTTCATCAGAGCATTTTAGAATGAAGAAGGAAACGTGAATGGCTACCTTATATCCGACAGGGCGGGTCACCTGACCACCAAGAACGTAAGAATAAAAACCTATTAACCCATATACAAGTAAAGAAAGGAGGATGAACCTTCGGATAAAAGGGGACGAAAAAGGGGTTAAATGGATGCTATATTGAAGCTTATATAGGGGATCTAATTTGTACATGTCAGGGCTCACATTAAGACTGTTGTTTCATTGTTAGATCAGAGCAGACTTGATCACATTCGTTCAACGAAATTCTTACTTTTAACAATGCATTTCGCCCCTCTAAATTCGATAGAATCATCACATAAACTTTAATGTAAATACAGTCCACTGGAGCGCTTGGTTGTACGAATAGCATATGAATGTTGTTTTAAACGTGAGGAAAGAGATTTACCAGTCTGGCCGATATAAACACATGCACACTCATTACAAGTGATGGAGTACACACAACCTGCTACTGACGAGGGCGAGTTCTTAATTAACATGGACTTAACTGTATTATTATTTTGTAATACTGAGTTAATATTAAGGTTTTTCTGGGCTGGGGCGAGATTTACTAGTCCATCAAAATATGGTAATACCAACAAGTTTTTTATTCCTGGCTTAGACTTGGGAGCTTGTTTGTAGATCGTCCTTTTTGCTTAACCAAACGTGACATCCAAGACCGATTTTATGTATTTTAACTTATTCCCAATTTCTAATATTTTTGTTATTTCTTCGTCAAATAATTCCGGGCTGTAAACTTTCAAGGCTCTGAGAAACATTCCTGAAAATACTACCCGCTTTACCTGAACATGCCGATTTGAATAAAAATGAACATAGGGGCAAACATTGGTAGGTTTCCTATTCTCGTTGAATTATAAACTTCTACTAATTCTATGAATCATGATCTCTAAAAAAAAAAAGGCAGAACACCATTCCTTTCATTCTCAATTGTAAATTTGATTGACGGATCCAGCGAATTAAGCTGAATGAGAATTTTTTTTTGGTCGTGGTTAACCGGCCACAGGCATAAAATATCGTCAACGTACCTGTACCACAACAAATTCGAGGGTAAAATCCTGGGTAAGATATTAGTTTCAAAACAATACATGTACAAATTGCTCAAAACCGGGGAGAGGGAACTTCCCATCGCCATGCCAAATGTTTGTTTATAAAATGAATCATTAAAGCTGAAATAGTTATCTTTAATGCAAAGTTTTATGAGATCACTCATAAAATGGAACTTTTATGAACTCAAAAGTTCATACAGCGAAGAACTGAGCGTGTTCTATATATGTAATATGCAACCGTAGTTATCTGAGGTTTTCTTGCCCCAACTCCAATCCTCACAACCCTGCATTTGTTAGAGTTAAAGTGTAGTAGTCTTTTTCAAACCATCTCTTGAGATTGTCTAGTTCATCTTATAATTTTCTGGCATTGTTCCTCTGTTCTGATTTGTCTCATTGGCTTAACATTGATAGCAAACATGAATAAGAATGAGCTTACTCTCTGCATTAGATCGTTTACATGTATTTGGATGGGCTCTAATACCGACCCATCAAGTACTCCACGCATTACCTCTCCATTATGATGGTCTCCTCGCACTCAGGCTCTTTGCCTTCTTCCTGATCGGTACTCCTTCACCCACCTCAGTGCTTTTCTCAATACACCAGCCTGCTTCTCGAGTTTGCAAGTTAGTCGCTGGTGAGTAGTAGTACTGACAAAAGCCATCTGGTCATGCAGGAATATGTAGTCTGCCCAGCGCTCTTTCTATAGTTTTCATCTTGCAATGGAACTTTCATAAGTTGGCAAAGCAACATTTTTTAATACGGATTATATGGTAATGCTTGTAAACAATGTACATATATTAGAAAGGTTCTGCGAGGTTTCTTAGAACTAAAATGTCTAATATCTTACAGGAGAATACGTGTTTGTGACACATAGCTTGAGTTCAGTTACTCCTGTCTTCCTCTTTTTGTATAAAATTGTGCCGTCACCTGCCGCCATCTTGGCTTCACCACAAAAGAGGAACTCTAACCTCAGTCCCGGAGGAACCTCTCGCTTAAGGTCCCTTCTGTGTTGAATAAAGTAGGTCGACACGTACAGAATATGACCAGCTGCACGGGCTTTACAGCTCTCGTCCACAGGCTCACAGGAACAGGGACAAGCCTCCTGCAAGTCGTCCACAGGCTCACAGGAACAGGAACAAGCCTCCTGCAAGTCGTCCACAGGCTCACAGGAACAGGAACAAGCCTCCTGCAAGTCGTCCACAGGCTCACAGGTACAGGGACAAGCCTCCTGCAAGTCGTCCAAGGCTCACAGGTACAGGGACAAGCCTCCTGCAAGTCGTCCACAGGCTCACAGGTACAGGGACAAGCCTCCTGCAAGTCGTCCACAGGCTCACAGGTACAGGGACAAGCCTCCTGCAAGTCGTCCACAGGCTCACAGGTACAGGGACAAGCCTCCTGCAAGTCGTCCACAGGCTCACAGGTACAGGGACAAGCCTCCTGCAAGTCGTCCACAGGCTCACAGGTACAGGGACAAGCCTCCTGCAAGTCGTCCACAGGCTCACAGGTACAGGGACAAGCCTCCTGCAAGTCGTCCACAGGCTCACAGGTACAGGGACAAGCCTCCTGCAAGTCGTCCACAGGCTCACAGGTACAGGGACAAGCCTCCTGCAAGTCGTCCACAGGCTCACAGGTACAGGGACAAGCCTCCTACAAGTCGTCCACAGGCTCACATGTACAGGGACAAGCCTCCTGCAAGTCGTCCACAGGCTCACATGTACAGGGACAAGCCTCCTGCAAGTCGTCCACAGGGTCACATGTACAGGGACAAGCCTCCTACAAGTCGTCCACAGGGTCACATGTACAGGGACAAGCCTCCTGCAAGTCGTCCACAGGCTCACAGGAACAGGGACAAGCCTCCTGCAAGTCGTCCACAGGCTCACAGGAACAGGGACAAGCCTCCTGCAAGTCGTCCACAGGCTCACAGGAACAGGGACAAGCCTCCTGCAAGTCGTCCACAGGCTCACAGGAACAGTGGAAAAGTCTCCTGCAAGTCGTCCACAGGCTCACAGGTACAGGGACAAGCCTCCTGCAAGTCGTCCACAGGCTCACAGGAACAGGGACAAGCCTCCTGCAAGTCGTGCACAAGCTCACAGGAACTTCTACAGTCAGTGCCCACAATAATAACATTACAACTCACAACTCTGTGTTTCAGACCAAGGCGTAAATAAATGTGGGGATACCGTGTTTCCTTATGGTTACCTTGTGTTGATTTCCGGGCTTAGCGACCTCGCGGCCCGGTCATCGACCAGGCCTTCTGGTTGCTGGACTGGTCAACCAGGCTGTTGGACGAGGCTTCTCGCAGCCTGACGTATGAAGCACAGCTTGGTTCATCAACTATCCTCTGGAGGTATTTATCGAGTTCTCTCGTGAACACTGCAAGGGGGTCGGCCAGTTATGTCCCTTATGTGTAGTGTAAGCGTGTTGAACAATCTCGGACCTCTGATGTTGATAGTTCTCTCTTGAACACTGTGAGGAGTAGGCCAGTTATGCTCCTTATGTCTAGTGGAAGCGTGTTGAACAGTCTCGGGCGTCTGATGTTGAAACTTCTTTCTTCAACACTGTGAGGGCTCGGCCAGTTATGACCCTTATGTGTAGTAAAAGTGTGTTGAACAGTCTCGGGGCTCTGATGTTGATAGTTCTCTCTTGAACACTGAGGGGTCGGCCAGTTACGCCCCTTATATGAAGTAGAAGCGTGTTGAACAGTCTCGGACTTCTGATGTTGATAGTGTTAAGTCCCCCTTAATTAATTCTTACCACTTTCGTTGAGTCTTGTCCTGGTTTTCGTCAGCAGCGTCGCCGTGACTATACCATCTGGTCAGGTCACTCTCGGCCTCGTTGTCAGGAACGTTACCCGTGAACCAGAGCTCCTGCAGCCTCACGACGTTGTCTCGTAATTGTTACTTTTAACCTTGCCATCACACAGTTTGGTTCCTCACATCAAATGAATAAGTGTTATGTATATAATCTTTCACCTCGAATCTATCAGGCAAGTCGCCACAACAAGTAAATGAAAAACGCAAGCACAGGTCTTATAAAGGAGAAGATATATTGGACAAATTAAGTCTTCGTGAAAGGATTTAAATGCCCTGAGCACAACAGGAAAAAGTCTTAAAAGCTTCTCCAGGCGATTGGCTGCCCGGGGGGGGGGGGGGGGGGGGGAGGCCTGGAAGTAAATCTCGCTGGTTCTTAAGCAACCTTTCCTTATTGAGACGGTACTTGCAAGTTATCACTTCAAAACCACTAATAGTGCTATTAGCTACTTCCTATCCATGGTTAGGTTAGGTTAAGGTTACGCTGGGTTAAGGTTACATTAGGTGAGGTTATGTTAGGTTTGGATATGTTAGTATGATGTATTTATTCACAAACATGTGAAATAATAAATTAAAAAACTATATGAGTATTCCTTAGAATTTCATTTACATTAAACCAAATTTTTCAGACCATTTACAAAACAACGAGTTAAGCAAATACATGTAATATTTTATACCAATAACTTATAATGAATAAAGTAGTAACTTGAGAATGCTTTCTGATTAAGACGAAGGTTCACATGACAGTTAATAAGTAAACTATTATTGGAACTGTAATATGCTTTACACACCAGCTTTTAAAGCAAACTTAAAAGCAAATTGTTTGATAAAATAGCTCTAAAGTTAATAGTAATAACAGAATTAAAAAAAAATAGGAAATGAGGCAAAATTAAATAAAACAAGAAAAATGTAGTATAAAGAGAAACCAATGAAAAAAATAGTAATTGAAGTTGCAAGAAAATATAAGAAACTGAAGACATTCTAGCAAAGTAGCAGGAATACCAGGACACGTAATAGGAAGATCGGCTAATTTAAGGCACGCGGGCGTATCAGTAGAAGGAGAGGAAGCAGCGAGAGCTTCGATAATGTATAAATATAGACATTTAAAAGAGCACAAATAAAGAGATAAGTCATGTGAAAGTATTAGGAATTCATCACGTATCATATGAACAGTAGTTTATGATATATTACGTAGAAAACGGTTCTAAAACTTAATTCCAAAACCCTTCCTTCCCTGGATTTTTTCGTTTTAATCTTACCTACTATAAATTCATAGCTGACTTTCTCACAGAGAGCGGGTGTACGGTCACACCTCACACACACACACACACACACACACACACACACACACACACACACACACACACACACACACACACACACACACACACACACACAAACACACACATTCAGAAACTTGTGTAAAGAATCATTCAGAACTTTGTATACCACATATGTCAGGCCAATCCTGGAGTATGCAGCCCCAGCATGGAGTCCATATCTAGTCAAGGATAAGACTAAACTGGAAACGGTTCAAAGGTTTGCCAGCAGATTAGTACCCGAGCTGAGAGGTATGAGCTACGAGGAGAGACTACGGGAATTAAACCTCACTTCGCTGGAAGACAAAAGAGTTAGGGGGGACATGATCACCACATTCAAGATTCTGAAGGGAATTGATAGGGTAGATAAAGACAGTCTATTTAACACAAGGGGAACACGCACAAGGGGACACAGGTGGAAACTGAGTGCCCAAATGAGCCACAGATATATTAGAAAGAACTTTTTTAGTGTCAGAGTGGTTGACAAATGGAATGCATTAGGGGGTGATGTGGTGGAGGCTGATTCCATACACAGTTTCAAATGTAGATATGACAGAGCCCGATAGGCTCAGGAATCTGTACACCTGTTGATTAACGGTTGAGAGGCGGGACCAAAGAACCAGAGCTCAACCCCCGCAAACACAACTAGGTGAGTACAACTAGGTGAGTACACACACATGCAAAGTAATGAAACTAGGCAGTGGAAACAGGAGGCCAGGCACAGGATACAGAATAGGAGATGAAGTACTTAATGAAACAGACAGAGAGAAAGATCTAGGAGTTGATATCACACCAAACCTGTCTCCTGAAGCCCACATAACGAGAATAACGTCTGCGGCATATGCGAAGCTGGCTAACATCAGAACGGCGTTCAGGAACCTGTGTAAGGAATCATTCAGAATCTTGTACACCACATATGTAAGACCAATCCTGGAGTATGCGGCCCCAGCATGGAGCCCGTACCTTGTCAAGCACAAGACGAAGCTGGAAAAAGTCCAAAGGTATGCTACTAGACTAGTCCCAGAACTAAGAGGCATGAGTTATGAGAAAAGGCTGCGGGAAATGCACCTTACGACACTGGAAGACAGAAGAGTAAGGGGGGACATGATCACAACCTACAAAATCCTCAGGGGAATCGACCGGGTAAACAAGGATGAACTATTCAACACTGGTGGGACGAGAACAAGGGGACACAGGTGGAAGCTGAGTACCCAAATGAGCCACAGAGACGTTAGAAAGAACTTTTTCAGTGTCAGAGTAGTTAGTAAATGGAATGCACTAGGAAGTGATGTGGTGGAGGCTGACTCCATACACAGTTTCAAATGTAGATATGATAGAGCCCAGTAGGCTCAGGAATCTGTACACCAGTTGATTGACAGTTGAAAGGCGGGACCAAAGAGCCAAAGCTCAACCCCCGCAAGCACAATTAGGTGAGTACAATTAGGTGAGTACACACACACACACACTGTGTAGGTATACGAGGAGAGACTGGTCATCTTCACTAGGTAGGGGGGACATGATCACCACATTCAAGTCTGAAGGGGATTGACAGGGTTGAGAGGACAGGGACCACAAGAGAACACACAAGGGGACACAACTGAGTGCCCAAATGAGCCAAGCACAGAACTTTTTTAGTGTCAGAGTGGTGACAAATGGAATGCATAGGTGAGTAGGCTGACTCCACACACACAGAGCCCACATCTGTACACCACACCACACACCCCCGCACACAACACACACACACACACACACACATACACGACCTACGCCTGGCAGCGGCATGGATGGAGACAGCAGGCCTACACTCAACTGTCAACAGTACTTTTAACACCTGTTTGTACTGTGGGATGTTTTGAATTGGCGGTAAGGTAAGGCCTCTCAAAAAGTTAGTCAAGCGGTGTACAGTGTTATTGCTTTTTAATAGTTAGTCTTAGATATAAGTTAGCAAACGGAAACGAACCTCAAGGGAAATGTTCGACTCATGTGGGGACTAGTTTCTGGCACCCATGTGTGAAAAAAATACTCCGCCCTACACGAGGCAACTCCTTCTCCTCCTACTCTCACCCCCACCCCCTCCCACCATAACACCAACAGTACACACACAGCCTCCCATCCACAGGGCCCTCACCTCCCATAACCCTCCTGCACTAATCCGCCCCACACACCCTCACTATCCCCTCCCTCTCTTCCACCTCCCTCCCATACACACACGCACCTCTCTCTCTCTCTCTCTCTCTCTCTCTCTCTCTCTCTCTCATAGGGAAAACATGGCAGGGACACGAACTCCAGGTGACAAACGCAGGAGTTTCCATGGAAGTGGCTTCCTCTCAGAAAGCAGTTAGATGTACAAGCATGCTGATAGAGAGAAAAAGAGCAGTAGTAGTAGCAGGCATTAAAGAGCAAACAGGGACCAGCCCAAAGGAGCGGAGAGACAGGGACAAAAACATAGTTACCGAGATCCTTCAAGAGGTAAGGATGGAGGGAACTGACCAAAATGTTTAAAAGGTTTTCCGGCTTGGAAAGTACAACAAGAACAGAGACCGAATGATAAGGGTGGTATTCATGAGCGAAATCACACGAAAGAGGAACTGTTAGCAAGAAAGAGTCGTCTAGCAAATGTACAGAAGTTCAAAAAAGTATTCCTGCAGAGGGATATGACAAGGGAAGAGAGAAAGCAAGCAGCAAACGCGAGGAAGGAGCGCAGGGAGAGAGAAAGGAATCAGAGAACCACAACCCCAAACCCTACAATCCCAGAGGGGAGTGGGGAACCCCTCCTCAAACAGTGCAACAGCCACAGGGAGTGGGGCACCACCCCCACTTTCTACCCAACGTCTAGACACCTTACCTGCCCCCCATCCCCTGTCAGTCCCCCACTAAGTAACCACCTAGGGCACCCTCCCCCCACCCAACCCCTTCCTCCCATTCACCCCTCTCCCCAGGAACTCCCTTCTCCCCCATCACCCAAGCCCTCCCTT